CGCGTGAGCGCCTAACTTCATTGGAAAATGTCAAAAGTCAACTAACTATCTTCTTTATATTTATAATAATAATAATAATAATAATAATAATAATAATAATAATAATAATAATAATAATAATAATAATAATAAAAGACTTATTAATTTTCATATAATTATTACTATATATGTATGTCTCCACTCTCCAACTTGGAACTATATATGATATCGTTAACCATTGCAAGCATATGGAATGGAACAACACTAACTCGGCAAATTATTCATGATCAAGCAAGCAATTGAGCTACAACTAACCAGTAAATTAATTAGATCATGACAAATAGTGATTATGTCTTACGTTTTTTCAAATAAATATATATACTTGTAATATGAAATGTCATACTTTTATTTATATTAATTAACTATTTTATAATATTATAATTATCATTATGAAATTATATAGTGATTATGTCTTACGTTTTTTCAAATAAATATATATACGTGTAATATAAAATGTTATACTTTTATTTATATTAATTAACTATTTTTATAATATTATATTATCATTATGAAATTATATATATGTATATTAAACAAATACTATAATTTTCTAAATGTTGGTTCGTTTTAATGTTTTTAATTAAAATACCAATGTGTTAGTCGGTTTGGTGGTGTTTGGTTTGGTTGTCCAACATCTATATATATAGTATTATATTGCCTCAGCAAAATTGCATTTTATAATTATTAATGGTACAAAAACTAATGACTTGCATGCATTCCTTCAACCTATCAATTATTGTAAAATATATGGTTGAACTTTTTTAATAAAAAGATTAATTATTGTAGTAATATATTTGCTTTGATAGAGTCTTAATTATATCATCACAATCAGTACTAATATTATAATAAAATAAAATATCCAACTACTCTGGTCTCTGTAGTTTAATTTTTTTTTTTTAAAAAAAAATATGTTTGGTGAATGTTTTTCAAGCAGATGACACGACAACTCAATTAATTGGGAGAAATGAGAATTAATTAGGCATCATAGACAAACAACAAATCGAATGATACAACTAATTAAATAAAATCCATCTATCGGGATGTCATTAGCGTCTTTTGGTACTGACGTTAGAGGTTCAACCGTGGTTTCTACATGACGTCGTCGGCGTTGCTTATCCACGTGCAACTACGATCTAGTGGACTCTAGGCTCCGCCTCCTTTCTAGACCCAAAAAAAAAAAAAATTAAAATCTATCTATATGTATTTCAAAATAAAATAAGATTTTATTAAATAAACAAGTATTAAATCAATATTGTTGATCAAGATGAGGAGAAATAACAATTTTATTTATTTTTTAATTATTATTATTATTATTGAAATTTTGTTGGTAATCTCTACATATATAAAGAGAACTTATTTACTAAAATAGTAACAATAAAATTCAACCAACATTTATTGAATTCTATTTTCAACAGTTTTTAATTTTCTTTTTAAATTATTCCCAACAAATCGAGCAACTATATGCATTCTAATTTTATAGGTTTTGTGGATTTAATTTAGGTAACTTTGGACTGCGACTTACAATTTTGAAAAAGTCAAAATTCTTTCTCATTTTTTAATAAAAAATTTAATTACCATAAAATCGAGAATTTTGAATTAGGCAAAATACTATTGCATATATTTTTTCCGAATTGTAACAAATTAATTGTTTATTAAAATAAATCGAAATGTATATAAATCGGGTTAATTTATGTAAAATTCGGCACGACAATTTTGTAAAGATCAAAATTCTCTCATTTTTATTAAAAAAAATTGTTTACCGTAAAATAGAGAATTTTGAATTAGGCAAAATACTATAACATGTATCTTTACCTAATTGTAACATATCACGTTTATTAAAAAAATCAAATTGCATAGAAATGCCCAATTTCTAATTGATAATTAAATTTAAAAATCTTATATCATTTGGCTACTATTTTCTTTAGTTCAGATGTTTTTAAACATAAAACAGATTTAATAATATTAATTTGAAAATCAAAATGAAATCAGATTGAAACATCGTAAAAAAATTAGTTTTGTTTAATCTGGAATACAAATTTGAAATTTTACATGTAAACAAATTTTTCCTTTCTTAAATTAAGTAATTTACAATTTTAAAATAATAATTCTATATATTATTAAGAAAGATGGTTTACAATCTTCGTATATTTGGCTATTCAATCTTCTTACAATCAGTATAAATCATATCATATATATATCCTGTTAAATAATTTAATCGAATTATTTAAGCCTATTTAGAATACTAATATAAATACGCGTCAACTGTATAGTTTCTTACATACAGTTTACACAGAGGAGCGTTATTTTCTGTTTAATAATATATAAGTTACGTTTTATTTTATTCCAATACGTTCTTTCAATCATCTAACTATAAATGCTTATCTTAATAAAATTAGTTTGTGCATCGCACGAGTATAGCAATACTGCGTAAAGTAAGCATAAATATAAATATGGAGTTGGTTCTGCAGCCAGTTTAAATCTGAATTTATGGAAATCTTTAAATGAAGAACTAGCTTTGTATTTTGAACGCTGTAGTTATATAATCCCCCTATATATTAATACAGAACGCGCTGAGCCTACGTGGCTGTTTCTGGTGCTTCGGAATCCTATGTGGCAAAAATTACATGCTTCGTTATTAGGCTTGAGTAAATTTTAATTTAATTCCAAATAAAAAATAATTAGGTTCGAATTACCATAAATATGTTGATTATTTATGGTCATGTTACATGTATTATTTGTATTTTAATATCATTCCTTATTATAACTATTGAATTGTATATATATTTTAAAAGTTAATAACTTTTGTTTTTTTATCAGTTTTACATATGTAATATATTAAATTAATCTTCTTTTGATGAGTTTCGATTT